CTTTTTTTTCTTTTAATTTCCAATATTCTTAAGATAACATAAAATATTAAAAATATATATTACTTATAGATAAAAAATTTTTCCTTCCAAATTTTCTTGCAAGAGATCTCTGCTAATTGATCTACAAAAAATCTGACTAGTCAATTTATAATTATAAATTTCTAAAATTATGAAAGATTACTATAATTCAATTTGATCAAAAATATAGTTGAATGCAGTCACATTTTGTAAGATGTTTAGCCAATTTTTTTTTTTTTTTTTTGAGCCAGGGTCTTGCTATGCAGTTCAGGCTGGCCTTGAGCTCAGTTTGTAGCCTACCCTGGTCTTGAACTCACAATGGTCCTCCTGCCTCAGCCTCCCGAGTCCTGGGGTTACAGCTCTTTATCCAATCTGTTAAGTGTGTACTTGTTTGTCATATCTGTGAACAGCTGTTTTTTATTTGAGCTCAACAATTTTTTCTCTTCCTTTTGCATTTTTGGATCATTTGCTCAAAATGTAATCTGGGTTATGGATTGAAAGGCGTACGTCCACCTGGGTTGCGAGCTGGTGATTTGATATCAAAATTGGTTTTCTCAGAAGTCATCAGGAATTTGTTAAGTAGGGGGACCTTTTGTGCTTGGAGAATTATTGGTTAAAGCTCCCTTTGGGGAATAAAAGAGCAACTGCTTGGAAATGATCCCAGCCTGTGTCTATTAATAGGAAGCCCCAGTGATCTCTATAGCCTTCTGGGAGACACCCCAATAAATGTTACTAAAATATATTATTGTGATATGTTTACATTGCTCATTTGTCAAAGGAGTAAATTTTCCAGAAAATAAGGTTTTTAACTTAAAGATGCTCTGGTACGAAGGTTTTCATATGGCTTTGACAATTGGTTGTTACTGTTTTTACAGTGTATTGAATGTATTTATGCCTGCAGATGTGCAGGTCTTCTGAAGTATGGAATGAGAATTGTTTATAGTGATAAGACTTCTTTTAGCCAGGCATTGTGGCACATGCCTGTAATCCTAGCACTCAGGAGGCTGAGGCAGGAGGATCATTGCGAGTTTGAGGCCAGCCTGGGCTACGAAGTGAGCTCAGCGCCAGCCTGAATTGCATAGCAAGATCCTGTCTCAAAAAAAAAAAAAAAAGAAAAAGAGAAAGACAAAAAAAAAAACCCTTTTCTTTTGGATTCAGACATCTGCCTTTAGCAAAACTTATGTGATGTACCCCCAATTAAAAGGTAGCAAACTAGGTAAAAACTTCTTATTAGTTAAATAGAGATGATTGATTTAAAAGATTGTATCATGTCAAAATGAAAATTTAAGTGTATTTCAAAATGTCAGCCAGGCGTGGTGGCACACACCTATAATCCGGCTGAGGCAGGAGGATCATTGCTAATTCAAGGCCAGCCTGGGCTACAAACTGAGCTCAAGGCCAGCCTGAACTGCATAGTGAGACCCTGTCTCAAAAAGACAGAAAAAAAAAAAATGTCATCATGACTATCATGCTGCAATATTATGTATGGCTTTAGTTTCTAATTTTCTGTGTAAAATATGTAATTGCTAACATTCTACAGGGATTGCAACATTAGAATATCTATGTTTGTTAGAAAATAACAGTTGTATTTTATGTTCTAAGGTACTTGATATTTAGATAACATAGTAATATGTAATGTCATTAATCTTCTCTTCTGGATGTTTAACAACTGAGGTTTGGAGACCAAAGAATAGAAAAATAGACGGGCTAGGAGGACAGCCAATATTTTGGCTCTAGCCCTCTTAGGTCAGTGAGAACCCAGGACAAAAGAGAACCTTTGCTGCGACATCCTATAACTCGGTGAATCCCTGGTCTTCTGACCAAGGAGATTTTCAGACCACGGAAGAAAGTGATTCTAGATGTATAGTGTACCTAAGGAGCGTCACCAGGAGAGAAACGTCTCCCGAGCTTTCACAGAAAGCAACTTGGCAGCAGCATAAGCACCTGCCTGGGAAGTGCAAGGTCCTGAGTTCGATTCCCAGTACAAAAAAAAAAAAGAAAGCAACTTGGTCAAACAGTGGCTGTGACTCATCCAGATAGCTGACACAGAATTAAGAGGTGCTGCACATGGTTCCAACGTAAATCCTGAGGAGACTTAACTGACATTGATAGATAGCAAAGAACTGATTAATACAGGTCTTGCCTTAACTTGGTCTTGGACATCCAGCAGAAAAGTATAAACACAGGAAAGAACACTGCCTGCAGAGTCCTTCAAGCACAGCTCCTCCAACTTCAACTGACCACCAGTCGCTTGTCACTACAAAACAGGGTCTCGTTTTGTAGTGCAGGCTGGCCTTGAACTCACTATGGAGCCCAGGCTGGCCTCAAACTCATGAAGATCCTTCTGCTTCAGCCTTCCATGTGCAGGAATCACAGGCATGTGCCACTACACCCAGCTGATTAGTTCAGATTTAATCATCAAAACGATCCCTATCATGGAGGTAGTATTATTAGTCACAGGGAACAGACAAAGAAAGACAACTTCTGCAAGGCCACAAAAGTAGTAGGTAGCAGTTAGGATTCACCCCATGAAGTGTACACCTCTGCACTAGGCTGCCTGTCCATGTGGGGGGAACACCTTCTAGAGTTGGGCAGCTTAGAGGTAGCAGACGTTTTTGTTCAACACGGTGTCCCTGCGTACCCTAGGCTGGCCTGAAACTCAAGGCGGCCCTCCTGCTCTGGGCCCTGAGTGCTGGGGTTGCGGCGTGCGCCACCATGCCTGGCTGGTGGTTGTTGCCTTAAACCACGGAGAGCTGCCGGGCGTGGGGGCGCACGCCGTAATCCCAGCACCAGGGAGGCTGAGGCAGGAAAATTGTTGCGAGTTCAAGACCAGCCTGGGCTACAAAGTGAGCTCAAGGCTGGCCTGAAGTGCATAGCAAGACCCTGGCTCAAAAAGACAAAAACAAAACAAAACAAAACAAAACAAAAAAAACACTGAGAGCATCACACCTCTCCCTAGGAAAAAGTGATACCTCCCAGATTTGGTGGTGCACTCCTACATTCCCAGCCTGCTAGGAGGCTGAGGCAGGAGAATCAAAAGTTTGAGCCCACCCTGGGCAATTTAGGGACCTAGCAAGACCCAATATCAAAATAAAAAAACAAAAAATTTAAAAATTTTTAAAAAAAAAAAAAGCTGTGGAAAGACTGGGTTCAATCCTCAATGCTGTGTCCCCAGTAGGTCTCGAGGTTCCCTGGGGAAAAACGGGGAGAGGATTCAGAAATAAAGATGAGAGGAAAACTGAGGTCAGGTGGACCCCTCTCTGGGGATGGGGAGGGAAGGAACTGCCTGAGGACTGCAGAGCCTTTGTTTATACACTCAGGAGATTGATGTCAATTTCAACCTCTGCCTAGTAACCAGTTTTGGAGCTGGAACAGCTTGTACGCATAGCTTGAGGAGCTCCCCACAATCTGGGCTGGCTCTGTAGACAGCTTTGCAGCTGCGAGATGAGCAAGGAGGCTGAGATCTACCACTGTGGAACAGGGCCCGTGCAGCATGGTGAGCACAAAAGGAAAAACGTTTGCATTCCTGGAATCTGCCCTAGTTCTGGGTGTGGTGATTGTGCCTGTAACCTCAGCACTCGGGAGGCTGAGGAGGAGGATTACCAGCATGCTGTTAGCCTGGGCTACATAGTGAGACTGTCTCAAAAACAAAAAACAGGTGAGGTGCTACACACCTGTTGTTCCAGCACTGGGGAGGCTGAGGCAGGAGGATCACCAAGAGTTTCAGACTAGGCCAGATGTCATAGACCAGCTTGAACTATGTAGCAAGATCCCCCCATCCCAAAAACCAAAACAACTCTGCTAAGGACAATGACCTCATTTTGCTGGGGATCAATCTAGGGCCAAGCACTCCACCACTAAGGTTCATCTGTACTCAGGACACTGAAGCAGGAGGACCAGGAGCTACATGGTGAGTCGGGGGCCAGCCTAGAATGCAGAGCCTGTCTCAAAGAATCATTAAAAAGCCAGGAGCAGAGGAGCATGCCTGTAACCCCAGAACTCTGGGAAGCTGAGGCAGGAAGATCGATTCATCTACAAAGTGAGTTCAAGGCCAGCCTGATTTACAAAATGAGACCATCTCAAGAACAAACGAACACAAAGGAGGGTGATGCTTTGTACAGTAACTGTTACTAATTTTTATTCTTTCTAGTCCAAGTTTGCAGTAAGAACTACATTCATGTGGGGAGCTGGTCCCTGTACATTACCACCTTAATTCTTTTCATACCCCCCCACTAGGGATTACTGCTTTCTTTTGTTTTAAACAGCAAGGAGACAAACTTGCCCCCTTCTCCACCCCTCCTAGGGCCAGGCAGACTCTAATGTGGGTCTTCTCAGCCCTGGTAACTACAGAAGTAGGGGGCCCAGCACCCCAGCCTTTCTCAAAGTCCCCCTGGAGCTGCCAGAGCGGCAGAGGCGATGGGCATGACAGTTTGGCTGGCTGCAGCCAAGGAACTGGTGGTGGGGCTGCAGTGCCCAGGGGTTAAGGTTCTCCCCTCACACACGCAGAGCCTCCCTGACCACTGGACGTCCCCCGCCTCTCTATAGCCCAGCTGCTTCTGGGATCCCCAGCCCTCTGGGCAGAGCCCAGCTCCCGCCTGCCCCAAAGAGGTCAGGCAGTGGCTTGGTGGTGTCTCGGGCAGCCCCAGTGCTGGCGCAGGTGGAAATGCCAGACCAGGGTGGCACAGCTCAACAGGGCCAGGGTGGTACCCACCCCAATGGCTGCGTGCACCAAGGTGCCGGGCCTGGGGGGCACTGAGAACCGGCCACAGGGCCCGAAGGTGGGGGAAACCGCCGCGTCAGGGTCCTCACCCGCCAGCCCGGGAGCCGGGCTCTCCCCGGCCTCGTTGGCGGCCACCACACAGAGCACATAGGTGCCCCCGGGCCGCAGCCCCCCCAGCTCGGTTCTTCGGACAGTGTTATTGAGGGGGGGCCCCCTGCGCGGGGCCCCGGCGGCCTCCCAGAGCAGGAGCTGGTAGTGGTGCACGGGCGAGGCTGGCGCGCACCAGTGCACCTTCGCGCAGCCTTTCTCGGCCAGCACGCGCACCTCGCCCAGGCGCGGCGCGGCGGGGGGCTGCGATGGGCTCGACAGCCCAGGACACAGGCAGGCCGCCGGCCCGGCCCGCTGCAGCTCCTCACACGGCACCTGCAGGTGGCGGCAACGGTCGTAGTCACAGGGCACAGGCAGCTCAGGTGTGGCCTCGGGGTCCTCTTCAGGGTCCTGGGGGGCCGCCGGCTGTGCCCCGGGAACCAAGGCGAGGATCCAGGCCAGGAGCCACAGGAGCCAGGGAGAGCCCGGCATGGAGCCTGCAGGGGGAGCGGGAGGCGGTCAGCTCTGCTTCCCAGCCGCCTGGACGGGACCCGGGGACAGGGACGCCGGCAGCAGATGCGGGTGAGGAGAGCAGACGGGGACAGACGCGGCTGTCGGTCAGTCAGCCCGGAATCTCAGTCAGGCACCTGGGTTTGCACCAGAGGCGTGAAAACGCTCCCACATGTGTGAGGCAGATGTGTGCCGCTGCGCAGCCACACGGGGCGGGCGGGGGAGGGGAAGGCTCTCTGCAGTCCAGGAAAAACTGGGGACTCACCCGGCTGCCCCAGAAGACAAGCGTCGGCCGGCCGTGCACAGCCAGGAGACGGAGGGCAGCAGCGCCAGCGGGCGAGGAGCCAGGGTCCTCAGACCCCCCGTTTTCCCGGAGGGCACTTGGGACGCAAGCCTGGGCCTCCACCCTGTGCCACCCCTGAGCCCTTTTCAGTTTTGAGATAGGGCCTTCCTGTCACCGAACAGCCTCGGCTGGGCTGGAACTTGGATTCTCTTGCCTTCGCCTCCCCAGCCTGCTGGGATGACAGGCCCGTGCCACCCCCAGCCCGCAGCAGCCCCGCAGCAGCCCCGCAGCAGCCCCTCACCAGCAGGTGCCTTGACGAGGGGAATCCGTGGGTTGCAGGTGGAGCAGCTGCAGCGGCAACGCAGTCAGGTCAGCTTCCCACTTAGCTCCGTTCTGCTGCAGCTTTCGTACCCCACTCTGATGTCACCACCTGGCCCCTCCTGCTCCCCACCCCGTGAAGGCAGGAATGCCAGGAGGGCTGTCCAAGCCTGAGTCATGGCCAGGGCTGGGCGGGGAAGCCTCTGCTCCCCATGGACAGGGCTGGGATGCCTGGGGCCTGGCACAGGGGTGGGATGGGGCCTGGTACAGGGGTGGGCCGTGGCCTGCAGCCAAGCGTGGAGGAGCCAGGCAGGAGCCAGGCAGGGGCGGGGAGAGGGGTTCGAAGGCACCTGCCTGGGTGCCAGAGGGAACAGCTGTGGACAGCACGGCCAACAAGGGTTACAACACACTGCTTTGGTGGAGGCCACCCCATCCCAGGTCACTTCCTGCCTCTGCCTCCTAGCGCTGGAGGGAGGGGTATAAAGCGAGTGAAGCATCCTGTTCTCAGCCCTGCCAGATCCTCTCCCAGGCTGAGGGGTCACACTCATCTCCCTGAGGACAGCAAGGGGCTGAGCGGGCTTCACCGCACCCCTGCAGCCCTGCTGCACCTACCCCTCCACCCAGGGACAGGGACACCGCAGAGCCAGGAGCAGCTGGCACAAAATCGTTTATTGGGACAAAGCAGGAGAGCATGAGCAAGGGCTGGTGCACTGGACAAGGTCCTTCAGGAGCTAGAGCACGTGGAGCGCTGGCGCAGGGCCCCCCCAGAGGACTCGGGGTGGCCCAGGGTCTCAGGGGCCAGGGTGGGGGCAGAGCCTGAGGCAGGCAGGTTGGCCTCAGTGAGCAGAGCTGCATCTTCCCAGGAACCTGAGCCTGGCCAGGACAGAAGACACCCAGTGAGCCCTCAGGTTCACGGGGTCCCCATTCCCACCAGGTCCCCCCGTCCACCAGATCCCCTCACCATCGCTGGCCTCAGGCTCCAGTTCCTCATCCTGGCTTGCTGGCTGCAGGTCCGGCTTCTCCTCTTCTGACAGCTGTGCCTCTGCAGTCAAGGGGGCACAGAGTGAGACAGCACTGGGGACCAGCAGGGGACCCTGGGCCCCCACCAGCCACCCTACCTGCTCCTGAGGGCTCCTCTGGGCTCTCGCCATCCTCTGTCCCCTCTGCCGCATCCGACAGTTGGCTGGCCTCCTCCTGGTCCTCGCACCCTGCACCTCCAAAGCGGGTGGAGTGGGCGACAGGGTCCTGTGGCCTCCCCAGCGCCCACCCCCCGTGCCCCCGGCTGCCCACCTGGCTGCCGGGTGTTCCCTTGAGGCTCCTGTTGGGCACGGTCCCTCTTCCGGACGTTCACCTGTGGGGGTGGGGCTGAGCAGCAGGGACGAGGACAGCCATCGCCCCCCGCCCCCCCCCCGGGTCTGCCCCACGCTGGCCACCTCCACTCCCAGGGGTAAAGGGCTTCTACCTGCACGGAGAAGCGGGGCCGGGGCCAGATGCCACCCCATGCCCACTGCATGTAGCTGAAGACCAGGATCACGCTGAGGAAGGTGAAGTTGCTGGCGACACCCACAAAGGCGCACGTCATGGGAAAGTTGTACAGCAGGTACCTGGGGCGGCAGCGGTGGTCACGGTGCAGCCTGGGGCACGCGGCACACAGCGCAAGCCGCCAGCCTTTGGTGTTTGTTTTTCCAATGCTGGGACTGAACTCAGGGCCTTCACTTAACTCCGTCCCCAGCCTTTTTTACTTTTTATTTTGAGACAGTGTCTCACAAGTTCCTAAATTGCCCAGGCTGGACTGGAACTAGTGATCTTCCTGCCTCAGCCTCCCAGAGTGCTCGGATACAGGCATGGGCTAACACACCTAGCTTGCACCAGCCTTCCAATTTCCCAGACATAATGCCAATAACGCCTAGGGCAACCCAGGTGAGTGTGGCTGCCCTCCATCCCCAGCGGCCAGATCTCGAGCCTCCGGCTTCTAACAGAAGCCCAGGGTTCAGGAAGACCCAGCAGGGCAAGGCCACCTCATCAAGTCTCACTCACGTCCCCTGACGCTGGCTGAACCAGCGGATCAAGACAGCAGTTTGTCTTGATGAAGAGCCTTGCTTGTTGCCCAGGTTGGCAACAGTCTCTGGGCCCAAGCCATCTCCTGCTTCGGCCTCCTCAGCACCATAGGCACAGGCTATCTGACGGGGCCACATGGCCAGTTTTTAAATTTTTATTTTTTGTAGGGCCAGGATTGAACTCAGGGGGTTCCTACTGAGCTACACCCCCAGACCTTTTATTTTGAAAATCTTACGTTGCTCAGGCTGGGATCCTTTCACCTTAGCCTTCCAGACTGCTGAGATTACAGGCGTGTGCCTGTGTGGCATTATGTCAGGCCCCAAGGATTTTTTTCTTTTTTAGGCAGGGTCTTGCTATGCAGTTCAGGCTGGCCTTGAGCTCACTTTGTAGCTCAGGCTGGCCTTGAACTCGTGACAATCCTCCTACCTCAGCCTCCCAGCACTCAGGAGGCATGCGCCACCACACCCGGCTTTTTTTTGTTTTTTGAGGCAAATTCTCACTGTGTAGTTCAGGCTAGCCTTGGACTCACTATGTAGGCCAAGCCGGCTTTGAACTGGTGGTGATCCTCTTGCTTTATCCCCCTGAGTGCTGGGATTACAGGAAGGCATGCACCACCACACCCCGTTCCATAGGCTATTTTAAAAAATTTAAGGTGGGTATGGGGGTGTTCAACTGTAGTCCTAGCTACTCAGGAGGCTGAAACAGGAGGACCACTTGAGTCACTTGAGCCTAGGAGTTTGAGTCCAGTCTGGCGCACACAGCAACATTCTGTCTCTAAAAGGTAGCAGCAGTTCCCTGGGGCCAGGGTTGAGATCCTCTGGCCCCCGCAAAGCTGGGCCCCAGGCGGGGAGTCCCTGCCGGCCCTTACCTGAGCCCTGTGAAGTGGGCGTGGATGCGCAGGTAAGCCCCGTACAGCTGGATGCGCCGGCTGTGGATCTCGATGATGGCGCCAGTCGTGGGTACATACTGTGGGGAAGGGGCGCGGGGTGAGGGCCGGCTGCCCGGGTGGGGCCGCTGCCCTGTCCCAACGCACCCCCGAGTCCTGGACTCCGGGCGCCCTCACCGAGTTCTCCCGGTAGTCTGCATACAGCTCCACCTCCAGGAGCTGCTTCTGCTCCGCAAAGCCAAAGAGCAGGAGGCTGGAGAAGACGATCGTGTCCAGCGTCTGCAGCAGGTCAGAGCGGTAGTGCAGCATCACCTGCGAGCGGCCGGGGCTGGGAAGGGCCAGGCTGTGCGTCCTCCCCGGCTGGTCCTCCCTCGGCCCCCCTCTCCATTCTTCTCGCCACTGCTTGTTTTTGGAGCACTGGGATCTGAACCCAGGGCCTTTGCATTGAGCTACAGCATCAGTCATTTTTATTTCTCATTTTGAGACAACTTCTGGTTAAGCTGCCCAGGCTAGAGTGGAACTTACAATCCTGCCTCAGCCTCCCAGAGTGCTGGGACAACATTCACTTCTGCGTTCCCGTGGGCAAGGCACCCTAACCCCAAGACCTCTTGTGGCTTCAGCACAGTGCTGCCTCTGACCTGCCTATCCCCACACAGTTCTGTCACCTGAGGTGGAGTCCTAGTGGCAGGGCAACGGGGGCTGTTCCCCCTTGCAGACATCCCCATGTGGCTGTGGCAACCAGGCAGGCGCTGGGTGGACACTCCTGTGCTAATACGTTCCCAGCCCTTGTGTCCAAAAGCAGCTGCGACACCCACGGGCTACCATCCCATGGCAGGGACACTCCCAGGGGCCCAGGGGCCAGGTCCCTCTGACCTCTCTTCTTTCTTTTCTGCAGCATGGGACTGACCCTTGGGGCTTGAGCATGCTCAACCAGCGCTATCCTAGAGCTACATCCCCAGCCTTTATTTCCGGGCATCTGGCAGACAAGACAGGCTTGGTGAGTGTACTCTCTTCCCCCTCCTTTTTTCTTTTCTCGTACAGGGAATTGAAGTCATGACCTCAGGCTTGCCAGGCAAGCGCTTATGCTGCTGAGCTATATCCCTGGCCCCAAGCAAATCTTTTTTTTTTTTTTTTTTGTACCAGAAATTGAACTCAGGACCTTGCGCTTGCCAGGCAGGCACTTGTGCCACTGAGCTATATCCCCAGCCCTTCTTCCCCTTCCTGATGTGAGGCCCAGAGTCCAGGAGAGGAGGTTCCTTCTGCAGCCACACCCAACACCCCACTCCCCTCGCTGTCCACAAACACTCACGGAGCGGGAGGAGGTGGAGATGATTCGGCCACCTCTGGTGTAGCAGGAAACCGTGACCAAGAACATGCCCAGGTCCTGGTTCACAGGAGACTCAGGCAGCTCGAGCTCCAAGGTGATGCGATACGGCTGTCCGTACATCAGCACCTGCCCCAGAGCCCCTCCGGATTAGGCTCCATCCCCAAGTCTCTGCTGCCCCTTCTTGGGCCAGGGCCACCTGAGTTCCTCCGGCTCTGGCAGGCTCCTCAGAACCCTGACCCCATTCCATCCCTGTCTCAGGCTTTGGGTGGGCAACAGACCCACCAGACTCAGGCCTGCATGCCAGTAAGGCTGTCCCTTGGCCCAGTCACCCTCCTTGTACCACTGGTTACGCAAGAGTCCACAGTGCTAGGCTCCCGGGTGAGCTTGTGCCCCTCATTTCCCTGTCATTCTAGGTCCCTCCCTTTTTTAAAAATGGGATCATGCCAGGCTCGTCTTGAACTTCAGGACTCATACAATCATCCTGCCCCAGCCTCTCAAGTAGTTAAGACTACAGACTACAGGCGCACACCTCCACTCAAGCTCAGTTGTGCTGGTAGAATCGAGAGGGCGTCTTCACTGGACAGCCTCAAAAGGTTAGGGTTTCACCTAGTATCCCCAGTACCCCAGTATCCTTGGACATTCTTCTTTCTCACCTGCTTCTCCATCTCTCTGTCTACTGGTCTGTCTCTCAGTGCTGAGGACTACCAGGGCCTGGCACATGCTGAATCACTGAGCTCCACCCTGCCCCTTCCCCTTCAGGGTGGTGTCCAGGAGCCAGCACTGACACAAGCCTGCCTCTCTTTTTCTTTCTTTCTTTTTCATCTTCTTGAGACAGGGTTTCGCTATGCAGTTCAGGCTGGCCTAGAGCTCACTTTGTAGCCCAGGCTGGTCTTGAACTCGAAACAATCCTCCTGCCTCAGCCTTCTTAATACTGGGATTGCAGGAGTGCGCCACCACGCACAGCTCTGCCTGCCTTTCAGAGGGCCTCTGTGGTAAGCACACGCTCCACCACTAATGAACCATAGAACTACAGCCTCGGCCTCCAAGCTCGTTGCCAAACCGAGAAAATAAGTACAGTACCCTCTGAGTAAAGGGCCACACATCCCTTTCTCTCCAGCCCTCCTCCTCATCTCCATTCCTCAGGCACTGCTCACCATGTCACCCTGCAGCCTCTCTCACCAGTCATGGAGGCAGGGACGAAATCTCTGTCCAGCCCCGGGACTCACCCGATCACGTCCACTCTTAGCCAGGGACACGTTGGCGACAGGGAAGGAGCACAGGGAGGTGATGGAGGGGTCGCAGTCAGTCCTACAGGGGGAGGGGACGGCACTGCTGGGACAGCCTCTACTGTGTCCATCTGCCTCCTGGCCCTACACCCAGGGCCTTCCCACTGGACTACACCCCAGACCTTTTTTCCGCTTCCAGGCAAGGTCTTGCTAAATCACGAACTTGCTCAGGCTGAGCTCCAACCTTCAGTCCTCCTGCTTCAGCCTCCCAGAGTGCTGAGATTACAGGTGTGTGCCACTACACCTAAGACTCTTTTTCTGTACTGGGCTGAACCCAGGGAGTGCTGAGGTACCTTCCCAGCCCATGTTTTGTTTGAGACAGTGTCTCACTAAGTTGCCCAGCCTGGACTCCAACTTGAGATCCTCCTGTTCAGCTTCCTGAGTAGCTGGGATTACAGGAAGGCACCACCACACCAAGCTCTACTTACTCTTTTTTTTTTTTTTTTTCTTTTTTTTGGAGACAGGGTCTCGCTACGCAGTTCAGGCTGACCTTGAGCTCTTTGTGGCCCAGCCTGGCCTCGGACTCACAACGATTCTCCTGCCTCAGCCTCCCGAGTGCTGGGATTACAGGCGTGCGCCACCACGCCTGGCCTCTTCTACTTACTCTCTTGAAGAGTACTGTAAGCACTAAGCATTCTGGGAAGCTGACTGTAACCCTGTACCAAGGGGCCAGGCCAGCAGCAGAAATCAATGAGGCCAAGACAGCTGTGCACGGTCACCTTGTGTTTCCCTAATCTCAGCAGAGCACTGGAGCAGGAGGCAGTGAGGAAAAGGTGAAGGCAGTTCTTTTCGACACCTCCCTGCTGAAAGCCAAATACCTGCACCAGCCGGGGGACTGGGCTGGCTCAGCCTTCCACACTGACCCTGAGAGCGCTGTGCCCCAGGCTGGGCAGAGTCAGCCTTCGTGAAGATCGTCTGCAACTGCCCACAGGTTTTTCTTATTTTTTAACCTGAACTGTCGGTCCGAGCAGCCCCGGCCCGGAGTCCTCCGGCGTCGCTCAGGCTCCTCCGCGAGCCGGCAAGGGCCGAGCAGGGAGCCCCTCACCTGTAGTAGAAGTGCACCGGGCTAACGTGGCTGACGGTCGGCATGTAGGAGTAGTAGAAGGAGCCGTAGAGGAACACGGACACCCAGAGCAGCAGCAGCACGCTGCAGAAGAGCACGCCGAACTGCAGCAGCAGTCTGCGCGCGCGACCCGCCAGCGCCTGGCCCATCTCCTGCGCCCACTGCGCGGAGGGCGGCTCGGGGGCCATGGTGGGCGCGCGGGGCGCGGGGTCCGGCCGCGGGGTCCTCGCTGCGCCGCCGCCTGGGCCCTGGCCATGGGGCGGTGCGGCCGGCGGGTCCTAGAAGGAGAGCAAGAAAGAGCGCTTCGCCCCGGGCCGGCACGACGCGGCCTTCTTCCCATGGCCCTGCTCCAGGCCGGGGCGTCGGCCAGCTCTCCTCCCGGGGGACCGCCGCCTCAGCTCAGGCGCAGCGACAACAGCAGCGCACCAGCACCTTCGGCTCCCTCGCAGTGTCCACGGGGCCGCCCGCAATAGCCACCCTCGCTTTCCGGCGCCGCGGGTACTGCTCCCGCTCCGCCGCAGCGCGGCGCCGCCGTCACCACGGAAACAGCCGCAGACACTGCGCAGACGCGGGCAACCCCCGCCCCGCCTGCCACCGCCGAGGGACTTCCGGCTGCCGGGCGGCCTGGGGGCGGGGCCATAACCAGACGCAGGGGTGGAGCCTCATCCGGGGATGGAGCCCTGGCCCGCGCAGAGGTGGGGCCTCATCCTGGGGCGGGGCCCGGGAGAGGCGCAGGGGCGTGGCCAGTCCGCTCCGCGGGGCGTGGCCTCGTGCAGGGGCGGGGCCTGGTCGCTGCGGGTTTGCGGCCGCCTGGCACTCTCCCGAGTCTCTTCTCCGCCGGTGGCCCTGACCGAAGGGACCCCAGACGTTTTCCCGCCATGCTCGGCCTCACCACATCCCCCCACTTGTTTTAACCCTCCGAGCGGGGGCGCTGATGTCTGTGGCTCGGTCCTCTGTGGCCGGTGTTCGTGCTGCGCACTGCGCAGGTGGGCTGCGGGGCGCCATTCACGTGCGCGGTTGCCGCTCAGCCGGCTTTGGTCTCCAGGCGTTATACTGCGCAGTCGACCTCCCCTTTTTCGCGTGGCGCACGCTCCCCAGATCCCTGCACCGAGTACTGGCAAGGGCCCTCCGCTTGTGCGTGCCCCCTGCCCGCAGTCAGAGCCTCGCACTCATCGGTGCGGGATGCTACAGGCAAGCGCGATCCACTCGAGAGGCTGCGGATTTCCCCCCACTCTCCCTCCCCTGCCCCGTGCACGCACCCTGCCGAACCCCTCACCTCCTCCGCAGAGTCCGGCGCTTTGGGCTGCTCCCCGGAGTCCGCCCTCGCGTCTGCCGTGTCTTCGGACATCTTCCGGAGGACGCTGCCCCCGCGGAGGCCCAGCGCGGTGGTCTCGATGCCGACCACCTGTCGCGCGTCACATTCTCCTGCACAGGGGACGCAGCCGTGAGACGGAAACCGAGGTTCGCTGCGAAGTGAGGCGGCAGGGCGGAGCTACAGAGGGGAGGGGGCGGCTGATGTCAGACAGAGCCCGGAGCAGGGTCCCCGCCGGCCGGCGGAGCGCTGCGCAGGGGTGCCGGGCCCGACCACCGCGGCCGGGGGGCGCTGCGGGGCGGGGTGCGGGCTCCCCCCGCCGGGCAGGTGGTACGCTCCGGACCCGGCTCTCCAGCCTCCTCCCGCATCCTCAGCATCCTGCATTCTCGGGTACCGGCCGTCAGCGCAGGGCCGGCGCCGCGGGAACCAAGCCACCCCAGCGACCTCCATCTGAGCCCCGGGGCCTCCCTGGACGGTGGCCGGCCCTCCCCGAGGCGGCTCCCTGCAGGGTGGCACTACTGAGGCACGGCTAGGGGCCCCGGGACCCAGCGCCCCAGGTGCAGCTGCCGCCGCGCCCGCCGCCCATCCTTCAGGTGAGCGAGGCAGCGTTCCCGTGCCGCTGGGGTCGGGGCAGGGCGGCTTCCCGCAGGGCGGGGCTTGGCACATACCGCGCTCCGGGACTGCGCCCGAAACCGCCCGCATGCTGCGGTGCCCGCCCGCAGAGGTCCTGCGGAGCGCCCCACCCCGCCGCCCCTTTCTCCTGAGGCGGGCGGGATAGGGCGGGCCGCGGAGGGCGGGAGGACAGAGGACCACACTGGGGCGCGGCCCTCCCTGCAGGATGAAGGGCGAGACGCCCGTGAATAGCACTATGAGCATCGGGCAGGCACGCAAGATGGTGGAGCAGCTGAAGATCGAGGCCAGCCTGTGCCGGATAAAGGTGGGTGCGGCCGCGCGCGGGGGCACCAGCCCTGCGGGAGGGGCTCAGGCCCCAGACGCCGCACACGCCCGACGGAGCGGGGGGCCAAGTCTGGGACGCTGCTGCCCTCAGGGAGGGCAGGCGTGTCCCGTTGCAGAGGGAGGCGGTTGCCCTCTCGGTCCCGCCAACCCCTCCCCGGCGCGCAGGTGTCCAAGGCTGCAGCGGACCTGATGACGTACTGTGACGCCCACGCCTGTGAGGACCCGCTCATCACGCCGGTGCCTACCTCCGAGAACCCCTTCCGCGAGAAGAAGTTCTTCTGCGCGCTGCTGTGACCCCGCCCCCGGCCCCGCCCCCCGCCTCTGCCGGCCTCGGGAGTCGACCCCGGGCTAGGAATACGCCCGTCCCGTCCCCACCAAAGGCCCCGCCCCTCGCCCGCCCCAGGAGGCCGCCTGGGGCTTGGAGCCCGCCCCTCTGAGGCCCCACCCCTCGTTGCCCCTCCCCTCGGGCCCCGCCCACATGGGGCGCGCGCGGAGCCGCTCTCCTCCCCCTTGCGGCCGCTACATGGCCAATAAAAGTCGTCCAGAGCCGGCGTGCGCGTTCTTGGGGTGGGTCGTAGCCGCACACCCGCGGAGCCCGCAGAAGGGTGCCGCTGTGGGTTCGCAGCCACGGGGAGTAAGTTACGGCCCCGAACGGTGCACACAAGCCCGCGCGCGGCCGACAGCAGGCGGAACTCGGGGCCCATCGGCGCCTCGGCCCAAGGTGGCGGCACGCACTGGTGCGCTGTACGGTGCGGCTCTCAAGATGGCGGCCCCGGCGTCCCGCGGCCCCGTGGAGTGCCTTCTACGCTCATTTGGGCCCAAAATGGCCGCGCCGGAATTTGATGGGGACGTTGCGGACGCTGAGGGCCTGGTCGCGCGGCGTGGCCGCTGGAACCGGGTTTTCTCGTCTCGCCGAGAAAGACGCCCTCGGGGCAGTGGCACAGGGCGGCCCGCCTGCACCGCGCGTCCCGGGCGCTGCTCCCTGCCGCTCCGTTTGGGTTTTGTGGCGGACCCGGCGCCCGAGCTGGCGCCACTCCCGCTCCGCCCGCGCGGGGCCCACACAGGCACCGCTCGGCCGAGACCCTACGGGATAGGGGCCCGCAGCATCCCCCAGCGGCGGCGCTGCTCCGCGGGGTCGAGCCCGGCGGGAACCGGCACCCCGCCCCCCTCGGGGACAGGCCCTCGCGAGGTCGCCGAAGCCACCCCGCGGCTGAGCCCGGCCGCCTGCGGGCGCGGGAGAGCTCGCCACGCGCCTCCGGGGGCGGCAGGAACGCGAGGGCCCGGAGGTTACTAATGATCCCCCCGCCCCGGAGACGCCGGCCTCCCCGTCCCCGGACCTCCGGGCCCTTCCCCGCGGCACGCCACACGGGAGACCCCAAGACCTTACCTGCCCTACCGCTTCAGTGCTGGGCAAGCTTAGGGGACAAAATGAAAATTGTCACATCAGCTCATATTTGGTAAAAAGCCACAAGTGGGGCCAGGAATATAGCTCAGCGGCACAGCACCTACCTGGCAAGCGCAGTACCCCCCAAAAAGTAACAAGTGCTCAGTAAATATAACCTCGACTATGGGATAAAATAAAAACCTTCGCCAGGTGTGGCACATGGCTGTAATCCCAGTGCTGGGGAGGCTGAGGGAGCGAGACTGCCTCCGAAACTAACCCTGAAATAGTTGCTCTTCTGCGCAACTTTCACACTGCAGTTTCAGGTGAATGCCTGGAACCCGAGGAGGGTTAACAGTTTTAGTAGTTCCTAGACACAAAGCACGAGCTATTCGACCATGAAAAATGATGAATTATAGCCGTATAGCTGAGTGGCAGGACACTAGACTAGCATCTGGGTTTGGAAAGTTGTGCATTCAGCGGGGTAGGGTTAATTAGCTCGGACTTAAATGTCCTAGTGAATAAGCAGCCGCCAAAGTCAAAGACGCATTTCAGACGCGAGTTGTGATATCCCGCAGTCTGTCGTACCCCAGGTAAGAAGCTGGAGTTGTCCACATCCGTACCACTCAGTACTCCACACCAGAGCCTCTGGCTACCCGCCTAAGGATGGGATGCTGAGCACTGTGGCCCATGGCTCTAAGCCCACCTACTCAGGAGGCTACGGCAAGAACCTTTGGGTCTCACCTGGGACACCTAGGGTAACCCTGTAATGACTAGCACCCTGGGAGGCTGAGACAGCAGGGCTCAAAGTATGAGCCCAGCTAGGGCAATTCAGCAAGATCTTGTCTCTAAATAAAAAGAGATGTGGGTGTGAAGGCCCTGATGCCAAGAAGAAAAAAAAAAAAAAAGGGACTGGGGAATCTAGCTCACTGGTAGAGGGCACCTGGGTTGAATCCTCTGTGCAGAGGCAAAAGGGGAAATTGGTCAGCTATAAAATTGAGCACTTAGAATCAGTTGAGCGATATAATACATACTGCTTTTGGGGGGCAGGTAGTACTGGGGATTGAGGCCAGAGCCTTTACACTGAGCTATCTCCAGCTCCTCATCTTTCCAGATAGAGTCTAAGTTGCCCAGGCTGGGCTCAAACTTTCAGCCCTCCTGCCTCAGTGTCCCAGAATGCTGGCATTACAGGTGTGTAGCACCACACCCAGCTATTACTGCTCTTGTTATCCAAAAGTTACCTTCTCATTCTTTAAATTCATTAGAAAGCAACTCTCATCAGACATAGTCTGTTGAATGAGTAGGCCTTTCCCCCTGGGTTGTAATTACTGTCCAATAAATTTATTCATTCTTTAAATTCATTAGAAAGCAACTCTCATCAGACATAGTCTGTTGAATGAGTAGGCTTTTCCCCCTGGGTTGTAATTACTGTCCAATAAATTTATTCACCTTCAGAAATGGAACACTAGCTAGGTACGGTGGCGCATCCGTATAATCCCAGCAACTCGGCAGCCTGAAGCAGGAGGATCTCCACTTCAAGGCCAGCCTGGGCTACAAAGTGAGTTCAAGGCAGGCCTGAACTGCATAGTGAAACCCTGTGTCAAAAAAACCCAACAACAAAAAGAACATTGAGTTGAAGCCAGCATCTATCTGGTTCCAGTGTGGCTTACACAGAGCCCCCCTTCCCCAGTGGACACACAGCTGCTCCTCAGCAAAGGGCTGGTAGAAGAGGAAGGCGACAGCAGCCAGTGAGAGGAATGACATCCCTGAGTGGGCCTGGTACAAAGGAGAAATCAGCCCAGAAAAACTAACATCAAATCAACACCGGACATACCACTCAGGGTAGCCACAGGAGGGGAAGTGGATTCAGTGCAAATGGTTATTTATCCTAAAAGTCAAACTCACTCTGCCTATATTTTTGTCGGAAGCTGTAATAAGAACAGGGAGTAAAAAGTTACAGACATAAACAATGACACAGTTACATTTTTTTAAGGTAAAACTTTTACTGGCCACTTCCAAGAATGCTTTACAGGTTGTGCAAAAACATTTACAGGCTCCCAGTGGTAGTTTTCTCACAAAACCTTTTCCGTCTACAACAGACGCTGGACAAGTCTTCTAGGGAAAACAAGCTGGGTCCCTCCTGCTGCCACAGCCTATAGCCCTGTCAACACCTCCTGAGAGGAGGGAGCCCACAGGTCCTGCTGCTCGGAGCGCCCGCTGTGAGGAATCCACCAGGAGGCGGCAGCTTTGCTCTCCTTCCATCCCCAAGAACAGCTATTTAAGAGATGACTTTCTAGTGTCAAAAACCAACAGCAAACACTTCCTCCACCCTGCCCAGTGGAGCTTGGGTGGCTGCAGCTTTGTTCCCTGCCCACAGGCCCTGGCATCCCCGTGTGTCACAGTGTCAAGGAAAGGCTGCTCCCTCTGTCTGGGAGACCCAGGCCTGTAATCCTGCTCCCCACGTCGCCCCTTGGCCCCATGCTGCGCAGAGCTTCCTCTCACTCCCTGAAGGTTAGTGGGTTACAGAAGCGTCTGTACTGTCCCTTCACCCACTGCCACATGAACTCCGTGTGGCACCAGCAAAGGTATCACCAGGTGAGCACAAACTGCTGTCCCGCCAGCCCACTCCACCCTCAGGCAGAGGAGCTTGGACGAAGGGTGCGGCCTGACCACCGGCCAGGGCTGGGGCCTCCTGCACACCCAGCAGAGGCTGCGCGTAGAGACCACCGCTCAGGTGGGACGCGTTCCTCCAGGAGCAGACCCAGTGCCCTCTCCTAGGACGCGCTGGGCACAACGCTGAGGAGGAAGGGGAATGAGAACTGAAGCCCAATATGAAAAAGCACCCCCATTTCCCACCTGGACCCTTGAACCCGGCCCCTGCGGGTCCGGAACTGGGCACTGTCAGGAGGCGAGGAGCCCTCCACAGGTCTTGGCTGAGGCCCTGAGGGGCCCTGCTGCAAAGGTGCTCCTGCCCCGTGCACTGGCATGCACCCACCACCCCCACCCTCCTATCCAGGACCCCATACAAAACCCCCAGGGCAGCGCCCTGCACTGTAGAAAACAGTGACTGCTCAGCACCCGTGCTGCACACACCACTGTGCGCGGCCTGCCGCCTGCCCGCCCGCAGGGCTGCGAGCAGAAACCCTGAGAATCCAGTCCAGTCGCAGACCACACCCTCACTCTCCCGAGATTCACAGGGTTCAGGACAGTACAGAGCGGCTGTGGCCCTGGCCTGGGACCCTGGGTAGCAAGACCCTGACCAGCAGCCTCTGCGCCGCCACCAGGCATGAAGCACAGCAAAGGGCAGTGACACTCCGGCCTCCCAGCCCAGCAGACCAGAGGTCCCAAGAGGGAAAGGTCGTAAAGAAAATGCAAACGGTTAGTTGGTGAAGTGATCGCCCAGAGCCGATCCTTTATTTCGCTGCCCGGTGGTCACAAGCGCCCTGGCCCGCCCTGCCTGCTCCTACCTGCCGCAGAGCACCTTCCTCCTCCCACCGCGCCCGCTGCGTCGCCGCCGCCAGCGTCAGGTGACCCTCGCAACTGCAGGGTACAGAACAGGCAGCCCTAGTTCTGCGCAAATGTTTTTGGATTACAAATATCTAACTAGGTTTGAAATGTTTTATAGAATAAGACAATATTCTTTTCAACAAACTTTTAAAAAAAATGTACAGTTTTTCA